TCTATACGCAGCATGGCTCGCGTAACAGTATCTAAATCGTTAACAAAAATCTGTAGTGTATCTAGTTTCTTTACGATTATGAAAAGCGTCCAGAAATGTATTGTATGCTAATTATTCTATATTCTTTAAGCCTATTAAACTCTAAAATGCTGCTGTAAAAATGTTTTTTTTTTTAGAAAAAAAACGACTTTAATAATATTGTCACAGGTATACTCCCCGTCCCAAACGTCAAAATGGCGTTTTTGATTGGATTTTATTTTGTGCAAAGGTACCAACCTGATGCAGGAAAGGTCATTGGCCAGTTGAAATTTTCAAAAATTGTTTTCAAAAATAGTAATCAAAATTTTAGAAACCCACAAAGAGAGATCAGCAACACAAATCTGTATTTATTAAATGAAAGATGGTCGAAAAGTGGCCTGAAGTCTAGTAGAATATATAATGTATAAATAGTATTGAATAAATGAACAATATATAACCTGGGATTGGATCTTGCTGAGCCCTTTCCGGATAGAGATCAACACTATCAATCTAGGAGGAAACCATATTGGAAATATTGAGGATTATTTCACATTTTTTCTTACAAGGAGCCCCGCAAAATATTTCAGTAAAAACGATATTTTCTTCAAAGTTTTTGAACAAAGCGTTCGTTCAAAATAAACTATCTTTTTTTTAACTTTGTTCCGAAAAATCATTCGTTCATTAAAAAAAAACTATTTCAAATCGTTCGTTTTTGAATTTTTTTCGTTCGTTTGTCATTCATTGCTGGTATAAGGATTACAAGAGCAACTTTTGAACTTACATTGCTTTTATTAGGACTTAAAAAGCTACTTTTTGACATAGATTTCTAGTAAAGCGACTACAAGATCAAGCAACAAGTTGACTTAAATCGCTAGTATAAGGATTACAGGAGCAATAATTAAACTCACATTGCTAATTTAAGGAGTACAAGAGCTAATTATTGAGTCACATGGCTAATATAAGGACTTCATGAGCAAGTATATGACTTACATTGCTAATGTAAGGACTGCAAGAGAAAATATTTGACTTACAATGTTAGTTTAAGGACTGCAAGAGCATATATTTGACTTACAATGTTATTTTAAGGACTGTATAAGAGTAACTGCTTGACTTAGATTGCTAATATAAGGGCTACAAGAACAATTACTAAACTCACAATATATAAAAGGACTTCAGGATTAACTAGTTGACTTACATTGCTAGTATAAGGACTACAATTAAGCAACTATATGACTTAAATTGCTTGTTTAAGGACCTCAAGATTAACCATTTGACTTACGTTGCTAGTATATTATAAGGACTACAGGACCAACTGTATGCCTTACATTGCTA